AAAAAATCAATTAAATCTAAGATAAACCAACAACTATTCCAAAAGATTTTGACAACAGTATTAAAGAATAATTTTCATAATTATATTAAAATAGATAACATTTAAAATTTCAAGAATTTGTCAAAATTTCTAAATATTATTTCTTAATAGCACAATTACAATAAAACCTCAATTACTCAATGATCTTGACAGAGAAATGAAAAGATAATCATAAATAACTTTTGGGAAACTTCAATTAACTAAGCATATGCATATCATTGTGTATTTATGTTGGAAATATATATACGGCATGTAGAACAAAAACTAAATGATGTTTTTTGAGCTTATTTTTGAAAAGTAAGTACAATAGAGCGTCATTTATCCGAATCAATTGGGGACTGAGGTCGTTCGGATAACTTATTTTTCGGATAACCAATTATGTACGAAAAAATATATTAACCTATCCCATGTTGAAATTTTTCTTGATTGAGTGTCGCTTCGTGTCGAATTTTTGTCAATGTTAAGCCTAACGTAAACTTTTTAAAATAATAATTGTGGCTATTGTATCGTTAAAAATTGTTTCTTTATTTTTTACAAACAAAATAAATATATTGAAAAATATAAAAACCAAAAAAATATATACTTTAGAAGTTAATCTAGTATCAAAAACGCTCAATTCAGCATGACACACAGTCCTCAGAAAATTTACTCTTCTCCACACACCGGAATGTACTAAAAATAACTCTTACTTTGAACCTCGTAACCGGAGTGTATGTATAATACTTCAGCTAATGTTTTTGACGCCCCTTCTAGGCTCTTCCTCAGGCTTTTTTTTGATAAATACCAAGCTGGACGTTGAAAATCGAACACTTTCTTTTGATTCATTTACCTTTCAAATCATCGCACGTGGAAACCTTCAAGCCAATTTTAAAACTCAACGAAAAGAGTGATGTTTTGCATACTGCGCATGTGCACTGCAGTACTTTCGTCATAAACTTTCCTCAGAAAAACACTACACAAAAGTGCCAGTGCTGCCAGCTAAAACATACACACCAACAAAAAAAATATTGGAGTAGCCCAAGATATAGCCAAAGATTGCAGTGCCACAGCACTAGCAAAAATTTAAATTTGCTGACTGGAATGCTTTCAGTTAACCGACATTTTGGATAAATGACGCTCTACTGTAATGTGTTTTTGTTTCTACATATTTCTTGTTTTCACTGAAACAATGTTTAAATTTAATGCTTCTTCCTATATTTTGAACTATTCACTACATTTTGACAGCAATACTTTCAGCATTATTATGGCTAATTATGGTTTTGCATCTATTTTCAATTTATTCACTTTTACAGCTAGTTTTTCATTGTTTTACATGATGAAGAACTAGTAGCCAAATAAGGAGAAATAACAAGGAAGCAACTTGTTCTGCAAACTAATACTATTGTGTGAAGTAAGTTATTAGAATGAACCAATTGTCCATTAACAGTTAACAGAGACCGAAAGATAATCAAGCGCTGGATAAAAAGAAGTTTTGCTCTATTTTATCTATCTATCTTTTAGTTCATTATTTTAAATAACAGTACAGATTCCTTGATACTTATAACATTTCAGTTTGAATGATCTACAACTGAACTGCATGCACAATGAAAAATGTACTCACTGCACAATCATCATCTGTTGCAAGCCCAAGTTATCTCTTGCTGTGAAAGTATCTCTTGCATTACACTCGTCTTTTCAATATGCTTTTTTTCACTTTATTTTAGTGTGTTTGGTTTATAACTATGGATGTCCTGATACCACAAAATTATTGATACCAGTGGTATCATTAATAGTTTTAAAGTATCGATACTGTAACGTTACCAATTATACACTGAGGTTTTTAGAAAACAGAATCTGAGTTTGTACTGAAGAGGGACTTAAATTACAATTGAGTCCGAAATGCATATGACAAACCAATAAAAGAAGTTCATAACCTGAATGCTGTATATGATAGTCTACCGAACTGAAAATCGGATTAAAGAGACAAATACACAACCAAAAAAATCAGTATTGATCTTAAAGTGTTGATATCAGCCAGTATCAGCATTGGATATTGAAACTGGAAATCTGTGGCTTGATTTTGAAACATTTTATCTGATTGAAACTTTTAATTTTAATTTAAATAACATGCTTAATTCTAGTTAGTTATTAACAAATTACTAAAACTGATTTCTAATATAAACTAAATGTTACCAATACTTTGTATAAATAAATAATCGACACACGCCGGAAGAATACAATAATAAACTTTCTATAAACCTATAACCAGCGTGAAATATGTTCAATTGCTTACGCTAATGTTTTCGGATCCCACTGGATCCTTCATCAGGCTATGTTCCATTCGTAACGATCCGTTAGAATGCCAGCTGTCTTTGGAATGAAATTTCAAATATCATATTTCAGGTTCCATTCGGAATCACGTGCCTTCCAACTCGAAACTTCAGTTGCCATGTAATGATCTTCTGCTTGTATGTCGGATTATGTATTTTTATGAATAAATTTGTTTGAGCGTGTCGGAAGTCGGAGAAAATGCGTGTAGCTATTTTTAACTTATTATAAGTACCGATGTCATTTTAATTTGAATCTCCCTTCCGTATTAGGGCTTGCCATGCCAAAGATAACGTGATTTCATCTTTGGAATTAATGGGGGTTGACGAGTCGTAGGTTTTGCATATTTCTATTTGTTCTAACCATCTGAGTTGGTCCACATATGACGTTGTGATAAGGAGTTTGGCTCTCGAAGTCCGCAGATATTTCCGGATCCAATGCATATACAGATAAAGCAGTGGTACATCTGTTGTGTATAATGTCCTTTTGGTGTTCTTTCCATCTTACTCCAACCACTTTTCGTGGCTCCAATGTATACTAATTCTCTGTCGCATCTATGGTCAGTGAGCAGCACCGCATACACCCCAGGAAGTCTGTCTTGACTCGGCTTGTCTTTCTCATTGCGCAGAAGATGAAAAATAGAGTGGCATCTTCTGTATGCTATGCGCATTCCTTGTTGTCTCGCGATTCTACGATATACGGAAGCTAAGATCGGGTTGTATGTGACAGATATGATGCGCTGTTCATGTTGTATGCTATCCCCATTAGTGGCAGCAGACGGTGGTATTCTGGTGTTGTATTGTCTTGCCAATCTCTGTATTATGTTGTTGAAGCCGAAATACGATATTTGAAATTTCGTTCCAAAGACAGCTGGCATTCTAACGGATCGTTACGAATGGAACATAGCCTGATGAAGGATCCAGTGGGATCCGAAAACGTTAGCGTAAGCAATTGAACATATTTCACGCTGGTTATAGGTTTGTAGAAAGTTTATTATTGTTACCAATACTGTATCAGTTGATTTGAGATTTTAATGTATTTTAAAGTTTTTCAAACAATTGGCAAATTATTTATAAATAGTAATCTGAACTCTAAGCATACTCTAAATAGATTCTGAAAATAAAATTTGATGTAATAAATTTATTGATTTTGGTCATTAATATTTACTATATAAGTCTAACTTAACCAAAAATAGTGTAAGATTTGGTTTCAGTTTTGGCCAAAACCAACTTTTTTAAAGCCCAATCTGGTTTTGGTTTTGGCTGCAAAATCCAATTTTGGCCAAATCTTACCTGTCTGTGAAAAATGTAATGATACCAGATTCGATACCCAAGGAAAGTATTGATACTGGTTCAGACAAAAAGTATGGAGTACAAAAAGTATTCGGTATCAAAGGAAAGTATCGATACAGTATTGGTATCAGCAGTATTACAACATCATTATATATAACCCCTACCTATTACCCACAGCACCCAATAAGTTGTGAAAGTAACAAAGCCTAAGAGGAAAGTTGCAGTATCAACAATTGAGACAAAAAAGGAATGAAAGATAAAAGCAGTTCACATGTGGCAGATCTGGCAGCCATGTTTAAAATGTCAAAATCAACTGTGCACACTATTCTTAAGAATGAGGAAGCAATAAAAGCAGCAAATCTAACTAAAGGTATGACAATGTTGATCTTCAGGAGATTGCATGTTATTGAGGAAATGGAAAAACTCCTAGTGTGGATAAATGAGAAGCAATTAGCTGGTGATATCAACCTTGAGATGAATATTTGTGAGAAAGCCAAGCAGCTGCATAATAACTTTAAAAAACAGTATATCACTACTCCTCACTAAGATATAGTAAATGCAATTTTCATTTTATTATACAGTATTTATGTATTTTATTTATTGTTTTCATGTTTTAAATTATTATTTAGAGCATTTAATTGTGTAATTTTTACCTTAAATTATGTTTATTTGCTGTTTAAGTTTATCAAAATGGGTATTGTTTAGTGTCTGGGAGCATATTAATTTACCTTCCATTACTTCTAAACAAGGAAAATTGATTTGGACTTCAAACAATTCAGAATTCAAACAGCATCCTGAAATGAATTAAATTCAAAGTATGAGGCAACTCTATTAGTTTCAGGATTTTCTATCATTATAATTTCATATGAGTTTGTATTATTTAATACAATGAAATATTTAATATCTGTCACATCGTATTGATTTTTTGCATTAAATATGAATATGAAACTTTATAAAACAACCACAACTCAAAAAAATTAACATAACTATACAATAAACAAAAATATAAATATAATCTATTAAATTATTTTTAAGAAGAATTTTTTGAAGTTTTACCAATTTGGCCTTGGACAAGAAATCTTCTGGGACGTAGATTTGCATATCAAAAGACAATTACAAGGGCAACGAACATATTTTTTTCCTGGTGGAGCAAGCTTTATTGGCTAATATTGAATCAGAAAGGAAAAAAATCATTATAAATGAATTTAAATGATAAATAAAATGTTTTATTAATTGATGATGATAATTGAAACATTTTACATACTAAATTATGGCAAAATGACAATTAAATATATACTAATAAAAACTGAACTTACAGTTGCTTCATGACAGTTTTCACATTGTACAACAAATTGATCAGCTTTGCCAGAAATATCAATGCTGCATTTGCAAACTCTGCAACTAACTGTTGGTATAATTCTTTCTGAAAAAACATTCTGTTGCACTGGAAATTCGCCAGTTTCATTTACATGCACATTGAATTCAGATGAATTTCCTTCCACATAAGGAGGTGCTAAAATTTTAAAAATCAGAAAAATAAAAAAAAAAATGGCACATTTAGTTGATTATATAGTTCTTGTTTAACTGACCCCTAAATTTCAGCACATAATAAACAAAGAAATTTTAATGTTCAAATGTTTTCGGCCACCTTTCAGGAGGCCCTCATCAGGAATGAATGCACAAAAAACACAAAAACAGTTCCATCCTTTCAAAATTTCTAACTTTCAATGAGGGCCTCTTAAAAGACAGCCAAAAACGTTTGAACATTAAAATTTCTTTGTTTATTATGTGCTGAAATTTCCACTTAGGTATCAGTTAGTTGATCAGAAAAGTAATAAAATAAAAATCAACTTCAATATCACAAAATAATTATAACATACATCGTACATTGAGGGGGAAAAACAGTTCAAATAAATCAAGTACTTAACAAGAAATTAAAAATATTTTATTCTTTTACAAAAATCCAAAACTGATTAATTGTTTTTATATAAAAAGGTATCAGTAAAAAAATAAAGTTTTAAACAAAATTATACACAATTAAAACTCAACATTGTAAATTTGGGTGTGTAAAATTAATACAAAAGAAATTGAAAGTTTATTTTGCAAAAAAGAACATCAATTATTATGCAAAGCATATCACAGTAAATAAACAATAATACTGTAGCTCCTCATTATATTGCTCATTTGGATATATTCTGCTTTCATTGGTCTTCCAAATAAAAAAGCACTTTAGACAATAATTTTTTAAAAATCAATTGCCATTCAATTTCTACTGGCAAAGAAATATTACCCTATTTCAGTAATTGACCTTGAAGCTATCATATCAAATACAACACACAAAAAAGTAAGTTGGCATGGAGATTGAAAATAGAGAAAACAGGTAAATTGATACATTGGTTATAGTGTCATCTGATATATCGTTCATTTGATTTGTCTCCTGTCTACAGACATGCACAATAAAACAAAGAGATATTGTAAATGACAACATTTGGAAAGCAAGTTCTGATTGACCACAAAGACATAAAGAAATCATTTTAGACATACCTTTGTCAAAAATTCTCTCATTTATTTATCTATTTTTTGAAAATCATCAATTATTGAGATAGATTAAACAAGACTAAAATTTAGCTAATTAACTATACAGATGTAGCCTTATAGTTAATCCATCTCTATCATTTGATTATTATTAGTATAATAATTCAGAATTGATTTTTTTTATATATATATACACACACACACACAACATATAGATCACCTCAGAGATTAAAAAAACCTTACATAATGGAACAAAGCTTTTTTTAATACTCTCCTGAAGTCTGCTATCAGATTTTTTAACTAATCTTGCACAGCATGCTACATCTTCATTGCTATTGAATAATTTTCCCACTAAAAATGTTTTCAAAAGCAAACCCACATGGAAGTCAGAGGATCAAGGTCAAGGCTACAGGCTGGGGATGAAATATTTTTGACAAGAATCATTCAACAGTAAGATCATTCAAGTAGCAATATGTTGTCGTCCATTGTTACGAAAAGTCATAACACCAAGGCTGCATGTTTTGTTTATTTTGAACAGCCAATCTTAATTTTTTCAAGTTTTTATGATTCCTACCTGCATTTATTGTTGCTCCACGATTCAGAAATTTTGTCAGAAAACACTATCTCTCCACAGATGGAGTTTTAAATCATCACATTTATTTTCTGACATGATAACAAATATCTGACAGATTGAGAATACTACTAATAAGTCTGACATTCCATCTTCATGGAATGTAGATATAATTGGAACTTGATTTCTAATGCCCTTTGTACTGTACATATTTTATAAATTGTTGATCTCATAATTATATTGATAAAAAGAAATTAAATTATAAGAACCAAAGTATATTTATACATTAAATTTACCATTGTAATAGTTTGGCAACCTAAAATAGCTGTAATTATTTCTGTTCTTATTCAGAAGTCCACTTGATAGTGGTTTATGAACCAAATTAGTGATAAGTTTAATTTTAGTTTTGTTTGCATATACTCATCTACAAATTTTGTGAAGTTTAATTTCTTTTTTAAACATAAATTTAGTAAGTTAACTTACTGTGTACTGTATTTCTATCATATATCTGAATATAGAACTTATTTTTAAATAAAAATTTTCTATATAAATCAACTTTTGCAAGCTAATCTACTTATCATTGAACTAAATAACAGGATGACCCAATCAAACCTCATTCTATTTCTTTATCAATAAACTACATTAACAAAAACAATTATTAACAACAATGATCCATTGTATTAACCTTTTAAATGTTTCAATTGGAATCAGCCTACAATCCTAAAATGTTTCATTTTTACAGTATTAAATCAAATAATCAAGCTATATTTTGGCTAAAATATAAAAATATTATGTAATTTGGACTAAAAGAGGGGCAATAAAGTCACCATCTTCTATTAAATTTAATAATTAGAGTTAAATAAATAATTTAGAATATTCTGGAACTGGAAGTCAAAACAGAATTCTGCTTACTGTGCAGATGAATTGTCAATTACATTATCCTGACCTCTGTCCAAAAAATCTTCATGTCAAGTTCAGTCTATAACCATATTAACCTGCTTCAATTTAGAGCCTATAATCATACCAGTCACTCACCATGTCGACTGGAAAGTATGCTCATACAATTCTTATATTCTTATTCCTTCACACATTCTTTGGCCTTGATCTTGCATCCTCTAATTTTTTTTTCACTTGAAGGTGTTTTATAGGAAAATGATTCAACAGGAATGAATATGTGGCAAGCTGTGCAAGATTAGTTAAAAATCTGATAGCAGACTTCTTGTATAAAAAGCTTGTTCTGTGATATAAAAGTTTCTTTATCTTGAAGGTGATTGTGTTGAATATGTAGTATAGACAAAAATTACACACTATGCTGCAAGTTTGCATTAAATTTATTAATTAGAAATAAATTAATTTAGATAATTCTCACCCAAAACCTAAAGTCTGGTGTTGGAAAAAATTCACTTCACTAATGTTTTTCGACTCCTCCAGATCCTGCTTCAGGAGAACGTTGCCCTTTCTTTGATGGAATACCAATTTAAAATAAAAATCTGAGTATTCAAAAATATCAAATCATATCATATTCAAATATCTCTTAGTGAAAACATTAGTGAAGTGAATTTTTTCTGACACTGGACTTCAGGCTTCAAGTGAGAATTGTGTGAAGTGTTCTTCATAGTCTAAATTAATTTAGACTATGCTGAACCCCTCTGATCATTATACAAACTGTAAATGAATATAGTCCTCCATGGCACTAATTAATAATTAGTATAAGAACAAGTAATTAGTTGTACCCAAAGTCCTCCAGGCTGAGTGCCATGCAAGAGTACAATTGTTTCCAGTATGTGCAATGAGTGACCTGAACAGTTACATCTCATTACTAGACTGGAAGTGCAGACTGAATGGAGATCTGGATGACATAATTGGTAACACATCTGCATAAGAAGTTGAGAGCCTGAGTCCTATCTCTGATCAATCTTTTTTCTAGAATAGCCTTAATAATTTTGAAATAAATATCTGTAATATTAATAGGTACTTATTTTATTGAATTATTGATATCAAAAATCCTAAATGAAAATCAGTAATTAATTAGTCTTTCCCAGAATAAGAATGGAGCCATATTCATTAGTCTACAAATCTAAAGGAAAATAGTTCATTAAAAGTAGAACATAATATACATGAAGCACATATTAGGAAATTATAAGGTATGTTTAAACTGTTATAATCTATTTGAAATTTCTGACAAAAATGTCAGAAATTTTGGTTTTTATGTCATGATGTCAGGTCAGTTTTGGCATGTGAAGTTCTCAAGTTTTTGTTTTGTTCTATTTTATTAAATTTCACACATAGCTTTGTTGCTTAGCTATGGCATTAGAGCAGGGGTGGCCAACAGTTTTTGCCCCTGGGCTGAATTGGAAAGAAAACTTTTTTCACGTGCTGAACCAGAGGCTGCCCTAGAAAGATTGTGGTGGTGCGAGATCTCATTGTGGCGTCACCACGTAGAGACTAAATTGTACATAGAGATTACAGATACATTTTTCATATTATCATGCTTTATCAACATTCTATGTGGTACTTAAGAAATCTGGAAAAACTCTAAACGCACAATGAGTTGTTGACCTTTTTTCTTTTTTCAGGTGTCAGAATTTTTCATCAAGCTATTCAGACTTGAGTAGCTAATATTGAAAGATTAATCTCAGGCCGCATAAATTCATTAGACGGGCCATATGTTGGCCTTGCCTGCATTAGAGTGATATAAATTCAAGATCCAGCACATTGACTCCATTCTTATTCTCAGAAATACTATAATATCATTGCTACTTAAAAAGTTTGGGTATTATTTGAATAAAAATAACCATGTCTTCTTTAAAATACTCCCTTTTCTTAAATAAATAAAAAAGTATAGGATGTATTTGTATATTTGTGTATATATAGAACTATATAAGTTATGATAGCAGTAAACATCCATAATCTAACGTATTGTATCAGTCTGTATCATTTGCTGTATGTATCAGTGAAATACGTTCCATATCGTGTTTGCGTACTTTCATTTTTAAGAAGACAGTTGATTCGATACAAAGTAAGATATTACTATTATGTTCAGTTTTATTATCATCATTTTTATGTTTAATTAATTTTGTATTTATACATAGCTCTTAATTTTAGTTACTGATGAGGGAACATAAAATGTAAATCAGCCCAAATGCATCCAGTTAAGTATGTAATCAACCAAAGTAAACCTAATTAAACTGTAGTTTTGGATCATTGAGTTACTGTAGCATTCCTATATATCTGCATATGCAGGATTATGGAATTTCCAAGAATTTTCTAATTAGAAAAAAAAATTATATAAATTATTTATCAAATAGTACAGAAAGTGTGCTTAATCTGTTAATTTTTACCTTTTAATACTATTAGATCAAATAAAATTAAGAAATTTATAGTATACATCTTCAATAATATAATGTATCTTCTACCTATTACAATATTAATTACAAATGCTTGGATTTCTTCACTTTCTTATCATTTGGTACAGATTTAAGGTCATATTTAATATCTACTTATTTGATTTTATTAACAATTTGTATTATCAATATTATCATCATTGGAAAAATTCTTTAGTATATATTTTCTCACATATTACATTCTTTAAAAATTTTTTAAGAAGTTTAATAACTAGAAATATTCTGTAAGACAAGAAGAAAATTAGTTTTGACATAAAATTAATAGAAATCATTTAAAACAGGACAAACGTCAATTTATATGGAATAAATGAAGAAGTTCTAAGAAGAGTGGGCGAGAAAAGGAGCACATTAGAGACAACAAAGAGGCAAAAAGCTAATTGGATGGGACATACGATTCGAGGAAGGCTTATTGCATAATGTTATGGAAGGAACGATTGCAGGCAGAAAGAAATGAGGGAGAAGGAAAATTACAATTGCGGATGACTTAATTATAAGGAACTAAAGACAAGAGCTCAGGATAAAACAGCATGGAAAAAGAGAGGTGCTCTATAATAACAAAAACAAATACACTGAGTTCAGTGTTACGTGCGTTTTTTTTTTTTTTTTTATCACTAGCACTTTAAATGAACTTATTGTCGTCGTCCTCAGGCGAATACAGATATTTACCAAAAATTTTAAACAAAAATAATCGAATGCAGAATAGAATTCTATATAGAATGCAGAATAGAAATAGAATATCTATTCTGCATTCGATTATTTTTGTTTAAAATTTTTGGTAAATATCTGTATTTGCCTGAGGACGACGACAATAAGTTCGTTGAAAGTGCTAGTGATAAAGAAAAAAAAACGCACGTAACGCTGAACTCAGTGTATTTGTTTTTGTTATTATATATTAATTTGGCGTGTTAGTCATCCTATTGATTACTGAGAGGTGCTCTGTGATAAACTTCAATATATGGAATAAATAAGGAAGTTCTAAGAAAAGGGGGTGAGAAAAGGAGCATATTAGAGACAATAAAGAGGCAAAAAGCTAAGAGTGCCGCTCACCAGATCTGCAATAACCATCAGAAAACTAAAAAAAGAAACCTCAACTTCAAAATGTCAAATTACAGTATGTTTATCCTAAATCTTGTAATTATTTTCACATGATGCAAAAATGTTCAAAAATTAGTAATAAGTAATTTAACATATTACAAGTACAGGGTACAAGTTACTTTTAGATAAATTGTATATAGGTGTGTACATGCATAAATTACCTAATAGTAACTCCAACTAAGTTTTTATGACAAATTAACGAAACAATTGATTACAATTTCAAATATTCCAGTTAAAATATTCATTTTTTTAAACGAAATTGTCAGAATATTTTATAATTTTAGCACGCAATTATACCAAATTACATTTTTATCATTTGATCGATGACGTCAATATTATTCGTATAAATTACCATTAAACACGGTTCTTTTAACATACCACTTGGTGCTGTAGCTCCGTACTCTGTATTATAATTTTCTTCCTGAAGTAACGCTCGCTTTTCCATGTTTTTTCTAGTTCCTTTTCCTTCATAAAATTCGGTTGAGAAAATATCATATGTTGATCACATGATCTGTCAAAAGAAAACACGAGAAGCGCCATCTATAAAATATCTTCTGTTTTATATAATTATAAATTATTTGGAAAACGTAATAAATACATAAATATTTAGCGATAATTAATTTATTTTCATTTTTATAATGTAAATTTACGCGTACGAAGAGATTATTTAAATAATATATTTTATTTCATTGCAGTCGATATCNTGTTACTGAAGAGCAGTTGAAAGCACGTAGAGGTGATAAAAATAGAAAATTAAAAAATAATAATAATAAATTTATACATCATAGATATCGTTTCTCGTATAGGATAAGATGACGTTCCGCTTCAAATCAATCACGTGCTTTCTAGAAATTATATCCATATAACGCCGTCTGGGTCAAGGTTGACAGCCTGCTGCCCTGGGGGACCCGGAATCGTCGGACGGGTCGAAAAAATCCCCAGGAATTTTTTGGAGGGTGGTCCGTCCGGATATATCGAGGCCCCTTTCCTCATCGCACGGCCGCCCCATTGTGAGCCTGCTAAAAACAGGCCCTCTTAATGCCCACAGGGAGGAAAGAGTTAAATAAAAAGAACGTACAAATTAAAAAGCAATGCGCTCAGAATTTCACTTTGCAGAACTCCAATGTCAATACCAAATGAATCAGTTGTTTCGGCTAATATCTTTACTCTTGCATATTAACTTATATATCAATTATAACGCTAAGAAACTGTTTATTCATGCCCATTCTTTCTAATAGAGACCATAAAACTTTGTCATTAACGGTACCATTGATACCGTTAATGATCAGTGGCGTGCCGTGACATTTGATGATAGGTAATCTGTATATCTGTAAGAAGCCGACTTTCAGGGGCAATCAGTTAATTCTTTCTTTAAATGTATTTTTAATAGGTTATTTATCTGACGTACTTAAATTGGCTGTCGAAAATAAAAATTATATTTTAATTACGCCTCCTTTTTCAAAACCAAATCAAAAGCAGTTTAGTGGTAACGAAATGGACGAAACATACAAAATTGCTCATGTAAGAATTCACGTTGAGAGAGCTATTGGTAAAATTAAAATTTTTTAAATATTGAACTGTAGATTACCCATTTCACTTCTTCCATATGTAGATAAAATAATGTTTGTTTGTGTAGTATTAATAAATCTGCAGCCACCAATTATAAATGAGTGAAATTTTTTATTGTGAAAACACTGTAAAACTTAATACTATTTACACTTAATACTTAAATACTATTTACAATTGCAGGTAAATAATAATTAAAGTAGAATATTTGCATATTCTCTAATAGTGAATAAATGAATATCTCATTTTTTTCCACTTTTTAAGGGTTCAAATGGTGATGAAACCTTTCGGATTTTTCTTCTATGTGTTATGTAAATATTTTCCACCAGGGCGGCGCGCGAGTAACTTGCACTCTGATTAGGACCTTGGGCGTTAATCGCTTTAGTTCCCAGCAATTTTTGATATTAATGTAATTAAACATAAAAAATACTTAAAACTGGAAAAAAACGAAAGAAAGGCGTTAATCTTGAAGAAAAAGCTTCAAACTTTATTTTCCATTGTCTCGCCTTTCTGCGAAATTTGACACTGATGAGTCATTGTTTACACAGCTAATGACCTTGAGAACATCTGGTGTTGGATTTCCCGGGATATTCTCATAGACGTCTCGGGAGGACAAGGGTTTAAAGTAGGGTGAATACTAGCTGGCCGTATATTTTTAAATATTTTTAAAAAATTCAAATTTTTATTGCGATTTCCGACCCCCGACTTAATTAAACGTATATATAATAAAATCTATTAATTAAAAAATTAAAAAACTATTGGAGGCGTTTTTGATATCAGAAAGTAGCTTTAAATAACTTTACCGAAGTAAAATCCGTGCACTACAACTTTAGAACAATGAATGAAATTTGATATCAAAATCCCATTAAAAACAATTAAGCGTTAATCGTGCGTCATTAAACGTAAATTAAAATCGCGATAAAATTTTTTCGCGCGGGTAAAAATTTTTGAAAAAAATTTGAAGACAAAAAACAATCCAAAAAAAAAAAATTTGGAGGGCCCAAACGCCTGAATTTTATGTAACGCTATGTAACCTGCCCGAGTTAACTCGGGCACTATCAAGAACTAAAGGAGCAACAATGGAGGCAAATATGCATGGCACTGAAACTGTATCTTTGATTGCTAATCAAAGTATTGACAACAATCCTACTGGTAATAATCCAACTTTGAATACTCAAAACATACCTGGGCCAATACCGAAGAAGAATAAATATGCCACTCTTGATAGTGAGGAAGAATGGAAGAATTTCTTTGAATTACAGAACAACCCTTCTACAAATAGCACCAATAAAAGAACGCCAAGACCTTATGTTCGTAAGAATGATGAGGGTAGGTTTTGGTATACCCCTGAGGAGACCAAATATAATGGTAAGGAAATTGTAGCAAAGTTGCTGAGGAAATTAAAGAAGAAATATTAAAAAATACAAAGAGTGGTGCTGCAAAAATAAAAATCAAAGAAAGTAAAAAGGCGGATAATAGTGTTAAGCCTGCCATAAGAATTGTCATGCATAATGAACAAGAAATAAATATGCAAGATCATCTAAGTGGTAGCACATGTGAAAAATACAACATAAAATCAATTACATTTTGCCTCTCCGATGAAAGTAATACTAGAGGTATTCGTTGCCAAATTAATGGAGATGTAAGAACTTATGAAGTGGCTAATGGTTCATATGAAATGACTCTAAAGTGGTATGTTGAAGGAAAAGAATGTAATATTAACATTAACATTCATGATAGTGGTCAGATAGACCTGATTGAGGGTAATGGTGTTACTGAAGAGCAGTTGAAAGCACGTAGAGGTGAAGGTAGACAGACAGTATGAAGCAAAGATTTTATATGAGGCATTAGCATCACCATTATAACAAGCACAACCAGAAAGTGCTGAATCAGTGAAGGTTTTGCCACAACCTTCAACAGATGTGACAAGTGTGAGTATAGCACAAGAACATCAAGCTTCTGTTGCTCAAGGAGCTGGAAAATAGTAATAAATGCTCAGTATAAGTTGCTTGCAGGTATGAGTAACTTATACTTTTATGATGAACAATATAATACTACCAAGAAATTTCTACAAGTGGCCAACTTTTTTGCACAATCAACTTCATTGTATGGCTGATAAGAGCTAATAATGATTGTGCATTATTATGCTTTAAACACTAAACTTTTATCATTTTAATCATTATTTACTCACATTACATAATTTAAACTGTTGGCAAATTGTTATTTCAATTATATGATAGCCATTGTTAAAGACAGCACTGCAAAAAACACTGAATGAATTACTAATTAGTTCTAACTAATAGTTATAATCAGAAATAAATTGCGTGTATAATGTAAAAGTCAATAAAAGCAGAATTTCTACTAAATATATTTACTGTATTTTCTATATTTTATTCAATTATATCAGTTCTCAGGGGCAATCAGTTAATTCTTTCTTTAAATGTATTTTTAATAGGTTATTTATCTGACGTACTTAAATTGGCTGTCGAAAATAAAAATTCTATTTTAATTATGCCTCCTTTTTCAAAACCAAATCAAACGTAGTTTAGTGGCAATGAAATGGACGAAACATACAAAATTGCTTGTGTAAGAATTCACGTTGAGAGAGCCATTGGTAGAATTAAAATTTTTGAAATATTGAACTGTAGATTACCCATNAAAAATCTGAATTCTTGCCAGTAGACTAGGCTAGAATTATAACAATTAATTTATATACAATCTAAATGGCATTTTACTAACTCCATTGACTTTGTATACAGTGCCAACCTATGCTTGAGTAAAAAACATTTTTGCCCTGAACAGGTTACAACAGAGAGCACTTCTAACTCTGGTACTCTTGTACTTTACAGTTCATACATTTATGTGACTATTCAAATCCATCGGACAAAGTGATAATAAATACTAATACATTGCACTAACCTTGTATAGCTTTGCAGTTAATTTTAGAAATGTAACACTACTGTTTTCGATCCACCCTAGGACCACCTTCAGGTGTTCTATAAAAATTTTTCTGGTACAATCCGAGTTCGATTTAGTCTCTAATTTTAAACGTTCCAAGATTCAATTTAGCTTCTGATTTTAAACATTCCAAGACATTTGGAATCAAGAGGCTAAATCAAACTCAGATCGCACCAGAAAAATTTTTATAGAACACCTGAAGGTCCTAGGGTGGATCAAAAACAGTGTTATGTTTCTAAAATTAACTGCAAAGCTGTACAAGGTTAGTATGACTATTCTATTCAGCTTATTATTTTTTATCCTTTTAAACACTTTGCCTCAAGCAGCAAGATGAGTGATCAAGTCATTTCATCTATCAAATCAGCTATTTGTATATAAACTATCAAACTTGAAAAGTACAATTGGAAATATTACTCAATTTTACTTATATACTTGCAAACACTACATTGGCCTCTTTATTCCTAGACTTATTACACCATCACTGGATCTAAGATCAGCTTTAGAAAAATCAGTTTATTTACCCAAAAAAGTATGACTTTTGGACCTTAAGTTCTTCATCAGCTTTATTTTACAAATATTTATGAAATTGACACTTCTGAAATGCATACTTTTTTGGGAAAACAAACTGATTTTCTAAGGCTGATTTTGTATCCACTAACAGTACAATAAGTACAGTATAGGAATAAAGAGGCCAACATAGTGCTCACAAGTATATACCAAGGCTACATAAGAAGCCTATTATAGTATCAATTTTACTTTTTGATGATAAAAGACAAAATGATGGCATTAATTTTGAAAATACAAAGCTGCTATGTTGATTTCATAAATTGATTTTACTCTAAAAGGATTTTTGATTTTTAATTTAAAAATAAAATTTTGGTATTCAACAAGAAAAGGAAGAAATTTTTATACTTCAATTTCCAAATTATTTACATTTTCTATCCAGAATTTTTTATCGATAATATCAACATGTGATGATACCAATATACTGGACTTCTTATTATTTCCATTTTTTAATTTTTCTCTAACAATAACCGTTCCTTTTCTATACAACTCGGGTAAATTATTATAATTTGTGTTAAACTCCGAAAATAAGATCTCATTTTTATCGGATGACACCGTACCACTTAATCGCTGTTCAGCCTGTTGTGCAGTTAAGCCACCCTTTTGTATCAACGTCCAAAATACAGTATTGTAGAGATTATTAATATGACAGTCCGCTTGTCTCCAACTGAAATAATCACGTAAATTCTTATCGGTAGGATAGAGGACGACTCTTCCATCGAAACTGGGAGGATATTTCATCTCGATGTCGGGAAAAAATTCCCGCCAATAGTATACAAACGATGATGAAAACAAACTACAAACATTTGTAACTAATTTGCTTTGCCTTCTATTATATATGTCAGTAGTTCTTTTAAACGCGAAGCTGTATTCATCACTTTGCCCGTAAGCTAAAACAATATCCTTAAGTTCATTCATCACAGTGAAAGCACATTTAGTCATTAAATCTAAGCAACGTTTATCGTTGGGTTTTTCGAAATCGTGAGCATCACAGAATCTATGAAATCCTTTTCCGTCTATTCTCACAATAATCCAACAGTTTTTCAAACAACGATCGTCAATCTCAAAGTGTTTCACATACTCAAACTTGCTTTTCGCCATTTTTAACGTGAGGATACACACGTGGCTACAGCTACGTTTTATCACGTGGTATTCGTTTCCGCCAATCACCGATTATGTAATAAAACCATATGATGTAAATATGTAACCTTATTATCAATTTTATTTATTTATTTTTTTATTTCTTCTAATTTCACATATTTTTTTGTAAACACGCGCACGTTTCGAAATGTTTTACATACACAATCTGATGTTTGCTATTTGATTAATAATGAAGTAATGCACGTGACATCATCATGGAAACCGACGTATGTTGTCACGTAGTAGGCGTTCCCGCAATTTAATAAAACCACGTGATGCGAACGGAAGTTGAATAACATTGACGGATGCTGGAAGCGAGTAACTTTTCTACGCCGTTTACCAGAAATTTATAGAATATTGTTTCAGTAACCATGAATTTTTGGAAGTGTCGAATGTTTTGTATTATAACAGGAGCGAGTAGAAGTTTGGGAAGAACCATAGCTACTCAGTTCTGTCAACACGTGGAAAAGGATTCTGTATTCTTGCTTCTAGCAAGAAACGAAGATGGATTGGAGGAGACAAAACGACAGATGCTTGAAAGAAACAATTCGATAAAAATAATAATTAAGGCAGTCGATTTAAGTCAACCAAACTGGACTGAATATTCCAAAATTTTAAATGATACTCTAAAATATTTAGAAGTATCATCAGATAATTTCGACCGATCTCTTCTTGTTCACAATGCTGGAAGTTTAGGAACACTTTATAAAAACAGTGAAACTTTAACTGATATTCAGGAATTGAGGGACTATCTAGATTTAAACTTAAATTCTGTTGTTATATTAACATCTGTTTATTTGAAGTACTTTAAAGAAAATCGTTTTATTATAAACATATCTTCATTGGCTGCGTCACAAGCATTCGAAGGATGGCATTTATATTGCACAGGTATTAACTGTGATTAAATTTTATAAATAAAATTTTTCTGAAGACAATAATATATGATAATTTAAAATATAATATGGGATTCCAAAAATAATTTTACTGTTTTGTTTTAAAATTTTACAGGAATTTAATTTGTATATAATTTATATATTTACTAGTTAAGGCTGCAAGAGATTCCTACTTTAGAGTTGTGGCCGAAGACAAAAATGTATCAATTTTATCCTATGCACCCGGACCTTTAGATACCGATATGATGGATGAAATTGCTAAAAATGGAACTAAAGATCAACGAGAATGGGTGTTGAGTAAGTATAATGTCATCAAAAAGCATAAAATTTTCTTTTGATATAAAAAAAAATTTTTTATTTCAGTCTCATACATAATTGCTTTGGGAAGTCTAAAGTCAAATTATGCATATTTCTGAAGATAAATGAAAATATAGATTTAAATATCATTTTTATTTTCTATATCCTAGCCTTGAAATCCAGTATATGGGCCTAGGCCAATGCAAATGCAAATCACTAACTTGTAAGATCATCCTAGTTCTAAATGTAGGATTTACTGTTAGAAATTTTGATATGCTATCAATTGTGATTGGTGATGCACATGGGATTTAATTTTGGAAGAGCAGAGTTGAACATGAATGGATAAAAATAATTTTAATGTGAATTCAATAAAATTCCCAGCTTGTGACTGCTAATTCATAAGTTATATTGAAATGGAAGACACACCATAATTAAAATTCATTTTTTATTTATATTAAGAAAAGATTTTTGGAAAATTTTCTAGTTTTTTTTTTTTTTTTGAGGGTGCCAATGTTCCTGGGTCCCTTTCTGGGTACATCACTGATTGTGATATTGCATGAGTACTTTAAATTCTATTTCCATATTTAAAATTTAATTCAGTTTATGTTGCTTCTCTAATTAAAATAATGGATTTGTCAACTTGTATACTTTTTGCTCATGTGTAAAATAAACATAAATTGTGTTGTGAACATTGTTGCTCATCCTTTCTGTAACCCTGTTTGACTTAACAATTCTTAACTATATTTGCTACAGTAAAGTATCTTACAACATTAAACAAGAGCCTCAAACCATAAGCATCATATCCCTAATATCATAACCCTCATTAATCCAAACTTTTCATTAAGCCAATCAATCTACCACTCATCTCAATTGGTTTGGATTAGTGCAACTGTACTGATATTAAAAAAGTTATTCCAAACATAAGCTTAATATGCTAATTGATTTATATGAAAAATTTATGATTTTTTAATGTTTCTAAGTACAAAATATAGATTTTTTTTAAAAGATATTTTATTAACATTCAATTATATATTGTAGATATCTGTAAATGTCTTTAAAAAAACAATATATTGTACTTGAATTGCTTTTGGTCCTTATGTTACAATATAAGATGATGAGCACTAATTTTGGGTACTACAGTGGACTTATCACACAATGTTGACGTAGTTGGAAAAATTACACAGGAGTCAAGAGATACAGGTTTATTAGGCATCTGTATGCATTTTGGACAGGTTATTTGTCCCTCTTCAGCTATATTTATTATATATTGGTTGATGTACAGGTGTCTACAAAAATACAATGGTTTTTGTTACAATTATTTGGGGTTTGTTTAGTTTAAAATAGTACAAAAATAGTGCAAAAAGTACATTATACAAAATACATTAAATAAATTCATAAAAGGAACATACTATTTTATAGTAGATGCATTGGATGACATTATCAGGATATTTTACAGATGAGAGATTATGATTACAGTACAAATAGCAACCAGAGGTTATAATTATTGTTTAAAAACATTGTGGAGTAAATAGAATGGTAAGTGGACAAAATACAAAACAATAAATAACAGTTAAAAAATATTTATATAATGTATTTTGTATAATGTACTTTTTTGCACTATTTTAAACTAAACCAAACCCAAATAATTTTAACAAAAAATCCAATTGTATTTTTATAAAATACTAACTGCAAGAACCTGCTTCGCTGGGTTTTTATTTGTATGTAATATAGTTTTTTTTTATATATAAAAGACTGTTTTTCTAAGTAATCTAAAATCTAGCTGCAAGGATCCGCAAAAACGCAAAAAACCGCCTGTAAATCTTGCATGCCGCTTTATATTAACACTTCCTTTGTTACTCAACACTTCCATTGTTAACATTTCCATTCTTAACACTTCCACTGTTAACACTTCCATTGTTGACACTTCTATTGTTATACATCTTCGAAGTCAACCACTTTCAACCCCACATCTCCCTCACCCTTACAGCTATCGAGACGCAACCACCATAGTGCACGAATGGAGATTTGGAGCTACCACCACATACAAACACCATTCATGTGCGATGTGTAGTTTTGGCTAAAAAGTGAAATATAGGGGGACACATGTCCATTTATATATATAGATAGATATACCAANACTTTCATTTTTGTATAATGATTCATGTGCATATACTGTAATTCTTATTTTCCAAACACTTACTGTTTATATATGGTTCACAAAAGCTACACTTTTGAGTATGAGAAATTGGTTATTGACTGTGTTTCAGAGGATGCTGAATTACTGGACATTTTAGATTATTTGGCTCAGATTATGAACTGTATTTTGTAGTACAATAAATTTTCTACTTTTGGACTTGTCTTCCTCTGCTTGTTCTAAATGTTCATGTTGGCAACCCTAAAATGCTGCACATTCATCTTGAAAGAACCAAGTTTGCACCAACTTTCACTTCAATGAAATTTTTTGCAAATTTTCTTCTCTCTTTGGGCTGCAATTTGAAAAAATTGTAGAAATATAAATTCCCACTGTCTGCCTGTCTGTCCACTGTCTTTCTTTAATCTTGAGAACAGAGTTAGATGAAAGCAGAGACCAGATATGGAAAGATTAGGGATAGGAGACCCAATTAATTATATATGAACTTCCAGTACAAACTGGAAGTCATATTACAGTATTTCAATTCAAAAATTTTCCCCTGAAAGGAGTTAGATGACCAGCACGAATCTATTGCTAATGAAGAAGTTGATGTACAGGAGAAAGACACTACTAATTTGAGGCACATAGTGTATTTTAAATTAAAAAATTATTAAAAATAGGGATTGTCACAATAAATAATTGCTTGTTCCTAATAATCTTTTTAATTTTCTTAAAGTTTCTTCATATTGTTTGCAACTTGCCAATAGATAAATTGCTTTTATCTATTAGCTATTTTATATATGTAATTTTCCTTTTCTTTATTAATTTTTTTTGACGTATTTCATTTAATCAGTATTTTCTTCTTTTCACTTTCTCTCTCTGGTTCAGAAATTCCTCCATTGTATCTGTCAAGTAATCTGATTTCTATACTACAACAACAACTGCTTCACTTGATTCTTCTAAAAGTATAATTATATTATATTACGTCAAACGACTTCCAACAACTTAACACTGCGTTGAATATAACAATCCACATAAAACCTTTTTTTACAAGTGTTAAGCTATGCATTTATATATATATATATATATGGATTCAAAACTGTTTCTTTACCGCTAGACATTTGCATTGTCTAGAAAGAGTTGTTTTATGACTAATTTCTTGTATAGGCTATTGCTTCTAGTTTATAAAAAAGATGTATTCTTTCTTCATTTTTGTTCTGTAAATGCATGATATGAGATTATGAATATATTGCTGAATTTTCCTTTAAATCTTATTAGACATCATAAATATTTTTAAAAACAATGCTTTGAAGTTTGAACAAATAAATTTGAATTTTTTTTGTGATAACAGGGTGGGCTTGAGATCCTATAGCCTCCTGTGGATCTATACCTGACTTTTGGTGAAAGAAGATCCAGTCAGAGAGAGAGAGAGAGAGATGATTCTGCACACTATTGAAGAAGAAAGTTAATGGAAATCTCTTCCATGAACTTTTTTTCCCAGAGGAGGGAAAACTTGAGACTCATTGAGAAGAAAAAGGATTTTAAATGGTCAACTAAGACAGTCCCCCATCCCAATTCAAAAAACTACTCTTACTGCCTCTACTAAATCATCCTAAGATGGGAAACTCATTGTTCTATTCATATCGTGTAAGAAAATTAATAACAGCTGTGGCCCTGAAGTGGAAATAATAATTAACCAATTTCTTGGGTCAGAACTTTAAACTTTCTAGGACTTCAATGAATCCAAATATTTTGTGCATTTCCTGAATTTCTTGTTCTCTCTCTCTCCTCAACTTAACATGTAAGCATAACCATGCAAATTTTGACAAGTTTCATGACCATGTCAAGAAATTTATGATATAACACAATGTGGTTAGTTAAATCAAAAAACTTCTTAATGAGAAAGAAGTTTGTTTTCCACCTTCCTGTAATGGTTGTGCTCTTTTCTTGAAATACAGCAAAACTGCAATTTATGTGAATAGAATTTTTTGGTTATCAATTAAAATTGACTAGTATCATGGTGTAATTTCAGACTATCTCAATACAGCATAGGTAACCTCTCTTGAACAAGTGCAGTATGTTTTGTACTGGGTTAAAATTCAAATATTTTGTTTAAGAATTTCTACCTATTCATTAAAATAAAAACAATAAACAACAGCTGTAAATCATTAAATTTTTTACAGACTTTTTGTATAGTATATTGAACTAACATTTTTAATGAAAACTACCAAGTTGTTTACATTTTTCTAACGCAATCTTTAAATTTATGTATCAGAATTACTGCTGCATTTAAGAAAGAAATTTCCTGGAATTTTAAAGTATTTCTACATTGTGCACACTTCCCTAAATGTAAGTCCTGTGTAAATCACTCCTATGCATTAAGTCAACATTTAACTATTACAGCAGTGATTCTCAACCATGTTCTGCAAACTTGCCCCACGTGTTTCACAAAATAAAAAGATTTTAATTTATCCCAATGTACATGTTAAGGGATTTGGTTAGTTTGAAATTTGAAGTGAAAATTCTGTCTGAACTGTGATATGTGCATGTTAACTCATTTGTTTAGATCAAAGTATCTCCATGCTGTAAGAGAACAATAGACCAAGAACAACTCTAACCTGGTCAATGTAGCTTTGCTTTCACACCAACACACTTTCAGGTGTCACCTTACCCACGGACTACCCTTTTTTTCTCTTATCTCATAAAATACAGCTAATTTTTTGGATTGCAAGATTGGGCAACAAGTAGCAGATTGAGATATTTATAGAGATCTAGGTTTCTACATTTGGGTGACTTACTTTTTGGGCCACTTTAAAAATAATTTGGGATAAGTTTTGAGGAATTCTGCTTTACTTTTTATAAAACCTATCTGGCAACCTGTGAGGTTCTCGCCAAACAAGTGCTGCTTACTTGCAGTTTATTTACATTGGTATTTTCGTTAATTAATAATAATATTCTGTATACATATCCATGTAACTGATTTAATTTATTAAGCAAGCATCCTGCTTGCTTAAATTACATCAGTTACATGGCATTTGTCATATTGTACAAATAGATAATAAAGCCATGATTATTTTGTCCCTTGAATCTTGAACTAACAAGGATTTCCTATATAAAGAAAATGTGTCTTCAATTGATTTACAAAAAATTACCATCTGATGAAATTATACAATGTATAAAGAAAATTTTAAAATGTTGAGTTTACTTATCAGTTAATATTCCATACTGAATAACTTTGTTTTCATTTTCAGTGTATTGTTCATGCATGTTTGTCAATATTTGTTCCCTACCATGTTTTACAAACTCACTATTTTA